AGGAATGTGAGACTGAGACTGTGAAATGATTAATTATGCTGACGTGCTGGGGTTTGAAGCGGCCACCAGAATTCAGGATACTTGAGCAACAGATCGAGGAATTAGGCAGATGAAGATCATTACCACACCGGTTTCATTAAAAGCAAAGTTAAACCATTTGGCTTAGGTCTGTGGTCAAGTATTTTTGCAAACATTTCGCCCCTGAATTCAACTTGTCCCAGTCATAGTGGGCCCTACATTTAGGGAGATGGTGCAGGTTTGGGCCCAGTTGGGGGACTTTTGCCTTTGTGGGCTTCTTCATAAATATTAAAAAATATATTTTACAACTGCATTGGTACAAAAACAAATATCATCTAGGCTGTTTGTTTTTTTTATTCTGATTTTAAAAGAAAAGAAAACATTCTCATGGACCCCTAAACTGGGCTAAGTCAGCCCAGCAGAAGGCAGAATCCAGGACAGCAGGCAGGTGAGCCCCCAGATGAGGCGAGGCCTGGAGCTAAAAGTGCCAATAAGAGGCAGTGTTACTCTCATAGAGTCCTCCTCGGGGAACATGACTGGCTGTCCCTCCAACAAAGTACTCTAGGATCCAAATAAATGTTCTGGTCCTGGGCAGCCCGATTCCTATTCCCACGGGTCCGTGTACCGTGCAGCATGAAGAAATAGTCTGGTAACCAAAAATAACATTAGTGTGTTTGCCAACCTCTGTGTCTTTGAAGAACGTTAAATAATTCATCACGACACTTCTAGAAAGCCTGTTTCCTCCTAATTCCCTAAAGCCCTGCAAATGTTCTTTCTGCAAAACTCACCAAATTCTGACCCCCACCTGGCTCATCTATCTTCCCCAACTCTGTCTTCCTTTTGTGTCCTCCCCACCAGTACCCAACGAAGGAAAGCAGAGACCAGTGGGGAGGAACAAATGGCCCCCCTCGGGAGGGGTAGAGAGGGAGGAGCGCTGCGGACACAGCCACCTTGTCAGTCTTTGCCCTGTTCCAACTCCAAAGGATAAAAGCCTTAAAAAATAACTCGTTTCATTACAACGGCAGTATGGGATCCACTAATAGAATTGCCCTTTGCGGAGACCAGTTGTCTCTGGAGCTGCAGCTGAGGCAGTGAGCACTGGGGTAGGTAGGAGGCCTGTACTGTTTCTCAGGTCCAACAGACCCACGGAAAATTGTCTCAGAAAGAGCCTATTCCCGAAGAAGAGAAAAGCAATGTTATCCAGCCCTCCATGTGGAAGTTTGCTTTAGCTCCTGCAGCAGATAGCAATGGCGTGGCCAAAGAATGCTGAGGAATTCTTGGCCAGCCACTCGGCAGAACTGAGGGTTCCATTTTATAGATGAACCAGCATTCAAAAACACCAAAATCCAGTACAGATTGTAAGTTATAGACAAAAGCTATGCAAATGTTTGAGGAAAGCAGGACCCTTTAGACAGTTCTGCACCAAGGAGCTGTATTTCTGCCTGGGTGCTCAATCTGCTACATAGAGACAAGTGGTAAGTGTGCGTTTGGACGGCTGGTGCTTTGAGACTTGGGAGGGTGGTCCCGTGATGAGCAGGCCCGTGAGACAGCCACGCTCCCAACATGGCCCACATTTCCAGGGAGGCTGAGACTCCCACCTGGACAATGAGGAGTCTGTAGTTTTACATTTTTGAGCAAAGATCCAAGCCTGCCAATAATGCAAGAGCTCAAGAAATATCTAACTCCAAGCTATCACTGCCCACTTCACATGCAAGGAGTGACCACATCGCTGTGTGAACAAAGAGCCTTGGGGCTTTGGAAGGACCTCTGTGCTAGTAAATCTTTAAGAATAGTTGGTTCTCTATATATACACATTTCTACTCCCCAGAGAGACACTGCAGCTCCATCTGCTTGAAAAAGGACATAAAAATAGCCAGGATCTGGAATGACCAACACATTTTAGAAGGAATATGCTGGGTCTTCCTAACAAGCATGTCCCATCAGTGGTTAAACTAAGCCAACCCAGTCCGTGGCTGGAAGACACCCAGGGTCAGTACAGTCTTTGAAAACTTGAGGGATAAAAGCTAGGGAATAAATTGCCTTGACATTTAAAAGCTGCAATAGTTTCAATTTCACGTGAAGTGGAAAGTTTATTACTCTATGAGGGTAGACCATGTCAACATTCCGAGGAAACAGAATTATTCTCTGTCTCATCAGGTAGTTGAAGAAACAAGCATTGAGATTATAAACAGGAATTTCATAGGACACAGACAGAACACATAACTGTATTTCTGTGGGTACTTCAGATCCCTCATTTGGGAAATGGAGATTATATTCCCACCTCAGATTATCATGAAGATCATGACAATAATCTTAAGGGAAGCCTTTCATATGGCATATACTTGAGTGTTAAATAAAGGTTAGCTATTACATAAATATAAAATATATACATTATATACTTGTTTGCTCCCTCTCTCTCTGTCTGTCTCTCTCTCCACATATATATGCATAACTCAAGCCCTATTCCACTGGCAGCAGAAATTCAATTAGAGGAAATCCACCAATACAAAGTTTCTGTAGCAGGCTCAGGACAGTAGCATTGTGAAAGGACGTTCGCTTTTGGCATCCCTGTCCACGGTGTCACCTGTCTTTGTTCCTGACATCTCTGCCAAGAGTTTCTAAGGCCTGTTTTGAAACTCAGTCTGAGCCTTGACTAAGTTCTTTTTGCATTCCTGATGCAAGAACCCTGCTCTGAAGGCCAGGAGCATGGAACACTCTCACTGATGTCTGAAGTATGATGTCCCCACCTCCCCACCCCGCCACTGTACAGGACAATTCCCACAGAGTTTTTGCTTTCATCTTCTATGAGTTGATGACGTTTACATTTTCATCTCCCATCTGGACTTCTCATCTGACCTCCAGGTTCCTATATCCAAATGATATGTGCACTTGAAGTCAAACAAGCAACTCAAATTGAATAGACCCAAGAGACGACCCTGGTTCTCTTGCCCGGATCCCCAGTGTTACATCCTCAGTCTTCTTATTTCCACAAATGGCATCGCTGTTCACCTAATGGCTCAATCCAGTAACCTAGGACTCATCCTTGAGTCTCCTCTTTCCTTTACCCCCACCCCCCATCTAACCTATCAACTGATCCAGTGGGTTCTACCTCCAAAATTCATACCAGATTTGTCCCCTTCTCTCCATCTCTGATGCCATCCCCCTGCACCCTCGTCCAAGCCCCATCAACTTCCAGTGGGTACAGAGAAATGGCTTCAGATCTGGTCTCCATGCTTCCCTCTTATCGGCAATAATTCATTCTCTATGCAGTGGAATGATCTAATATTAATTACATCATATTACATCCTAGCTTGAAATTCTCCAATGGCTTCCTTTCTCACCTAGGAACCCGCTAGCCCCTTTCCCTGGCACCTGCCATCTTCCTGACCTTCTCTCATGCCATCTTCCTCCTGCGCTCCACACTCGGCCAGACTGGCCTTCTTTCTGCTTTTCAACATGCCAGTCTCCTTTCTTCCTTGGGGGCACTGTACTTGCTGCCCTTTCCCTGTGCCTACTCTTGGTGGGCTTGCCCTTCAGGACTCAGTTCCAATGCACTCAGGTACTGACTCCCCAAAACTGAACTTGTCTCTTAAGTCACCTTGTATCACCTTAACCCTGTTGATCACATTGCTTACTATTTCTTGAAGTTACCTTGTTTCCGTCGTTGTTTATTATCCTACCACATTAGAAATAAATGCCATTTTATCTAGTACTTTACAGTTCCCATTAAATTCACATAAACACACATGCGCGCGCGCACACACACACACACACACACAAGAAGGCAATATACGCTCCATGAAAACGGATCTTCTCAGGCACACAAATATTTTTGAATGGATGAATGATTGTATTTGATTCTTACATTTCTGTCACTCATTTCCATGCAAGTCATACGTAAAAATAAAATAAACTACTTGTGAGTCCCTGAAACATAATATGCAGTTTTCAACTTCCTTAACTTTACACAAATGGTTCCCTCTGCTAAAAATACCTTTTCTTTGGTCTTTTGGTAAACTCCTATTCATCCTTCAAAACACTGTTTGGGCAAGGAGCACTCAGAAAGGAACCTGTGGAGGAAGCAATGCAAGGGAGTGTGTAGCCACCCTGCCCAACTGGTGAGGTCAGAACTTGAGACTTGAAGGAAGACTGGTTTGGAATTTCTGAGGTGAAATTCTGCTCCAAACCTAGAGCCCTCTGTCTCCTCAAGACAGAAAGCAAAGGAGTCAGCTTTGAATATCCAACAACTCATTCACTATCTCTATTTGCATATTTCCTCTTGGGCTTCTAAAACTTAACATGTACAAATAGAACTTATGATGTCAAAGACTGACGCATTCACTTGCTCAGCCCAAAAGCTATGGTGACACCCTTAACTCCTCCCCCACACACATACACACATTGCCGACAATCTGTCAGCAAATCATGCCCATTTTTATTCCTCCCACTGTCACCTAGTATAAGCCTCCTCATCTCTTTCCTTTTAATTTTTTAAGAGTTTATTTAAGTCAAACTGACGACACATGCCAGGGAACAACATCTCACATGCTCTGGGTCAGCCTGCAACTGCAGCTTGGGCTTCTCCAGGACCTATAGGCATCTAGGTTTTTGCTCTCACCTATCACTCTCTAGGAGAAAAAACTTCTATCGTGGTGGAAGCATTTTTTTCCTGCTGTGATGCCTTCTCTTCCAAATTCTGATGAGTTAATTTTTTTTGTGAATGGGAGAAAGGTAAATTTATGAGATGATTATATGGATTTTTGTTTAGCAGCGACAAAAGCCAAGCTAATTTTTTTATACCACGATACCGTTTCTTATGTCTTTAACCTCACCTGTCTTTTTCATACCATATACAGTGGTATGAACTTGAACATGGGTTATTAGCTTGAGGTTTGGTGCAAAATCATTAAAGCATGGGGGGCCTTTGCTTGCTCTTTATCGTTTCTTTGGAATCAGTAAGGAACTTTCATTTTTATTTATTAGATTACAACAGGAGTGAATTCTGACACAGGTATGAAAAACTATGTCTTTCTTCATTTTATTTGGCTATTAGCTCTACTCGAATTCACCAACGTTATTTTAATAGAAGGCACACACGACACTGAGGATGAAAATAGCAAAGAATGACTTAGTTTTTCCCTAATAAATCCCCTCAGGCTGATCAATTAACCTGGAGGCTGAAGTGCCTCTGCTGCACAATGGGACAAGTAGGCTGCTTTTCCCACAGAGAAGAAGATGGGGCAATTCTCATGCTCCATTGTTCTCGGCTCTGTACTTAACAAGAAGTATGAGTAAAAGAAAAGAGTGCGGTGTTTTGAAACAATTAGAGAAAAAAGAACTAGCAAAATGTTAAAACAAAATTATTTCGGGAAGAAATCTGGTGTTAATGATTTTGCTTCTCAAGCCTCAGCTGTCGTGGGTGACTGATGCTCTATCCTAAAGGAGAAAATACAACTTTCATCGAGGCAAAACTTCTTGGGAATTCTGCTTTTTAAATAGCAGGAAAACATCATTTTTAGGAAACCTCTGAACTAAAATACAGAAAGTGAAAAAGAAAGAAAAAGTCTGGATTTAGCAATACTGATTACCCATGGGTCAGAATCTTGAATGACTGAAAGCCAACTGGACTATCAGAAAAATAATTGCTGAGTGACAATTAGTAGTAATTCAAAAGCGAAGAACTTTTCTGAGTGCAAGGAAAATCGGCTTTGTTGCTTTGCCTCTGTTGTTGAATAAAACCATTTTTCCCTTAATATCACATTAGAATGCTTATTTCCCCTCCAGGTCTTCAATCTTTTGAATTTACAGCTGATATTTTGACATTTTTACCTTTCTCTAACAAATTTCTAAGACAAGTTACAGATGAAAAAAAAAGAAGGAAGGAAGGAAGGAAAGAAGGAAGGAAGAAGGAAAGGGAGAAATATATACAACTCTTTGGAGAAATTTGTTTCGTTGTTATTTTTGTGGTTGTTTTTCTTTCCTTTAGACACGGGCACAGAGTTGGGCAAAGCACACTCCTCTGTCAATGGCACATCATCAACACAAACTGGACGAAGCTCTTCTTTTGCTTTATATTTTTTCTTTATATTTCCTACCTTCTCTTTATTTCATTCCCCCATGTGCATTTTAAATATATAGCCTTCCTTCACACTTTCAATACAGGTATTAAGAAATATAGATGTATCTTTGAACTATATATAGTTGACCCTTGAATAACACAGGTTTCAACTTCACAGGTCTACTTACATGTGGGTTTTTTCCAATAAATACTTAAATGTATTTTCTCTTCTGATTTTATTAATAACATTTTTTCTAGCTTACTTTATTGTAAGAATACAGTATATACTATGTATAACATACAAAATATGTGTTAATTGACTTTATGTTGCCTTTAGGGCTTCTGGTCAACGGTAAGCTATTAATAGTTAAGTTTGTGGAGAGCCAAAAGTTATATACAGATTTTCAACTCTGCAGGGAGCAAGGGTCGGTGCCCCTAACCCTCATATCGTTCAAGGGTCGATTGTATAGTGTTTGTCTGTACAGTGCATGGGCGTGTGTATATTCTTAACTTACACACATGGATTGTGATTTATAAATCTCCTTTAGTTTCTTTTGTGACTCACCACTGTTTTTGAGACCTATCCATGTTGCTCTCTGAAAACATGGCTCATTACTTCTGCATGCATAGTTCTCCAGGCTGTGTACATCCTTCAGTCTGCTTATCCAGTCTCCTAGTGATAGACACAAGAAATTCCCCAAGAAATGCTTCAGTGAACATCCTACCATGTGTCTCTTCACTGACACTGGCAAGAGAATCTCTCAGTAAGACTGTGACATGCCAACTTCATAGCTCCTGCCAGGTGGCTTTCCAGAATCTTACACAAGTTATATTTCCCACAGTTCATTGCATGACAGGTGCAACTTCTTGGCCCATATACAATTTTTCAATCTATGATGTACCAATACTTGAAACAATCAGACTATTTATCAATTTTTTATTAAATTTGTTGGGGCGACATTGGTATATAAAATTATATAGGTTTCAAGTGTACAATTCAATAATACGCCATATGTATATTGCACTGTGTGTTCATCATCCAAAGTTAAATTTCCTTCTATCACCATACATTTGACCCCCTTTACCCTTATCTAGCCCTATTTTCCCTTTCCTTCGGATAACCACTAAACTGTTGTCTGTGTCTATAAGTTTTTGTTTGTCTATTGTGTTTGTTTGTTGCTCTCAGTTTTATATCCCATATATGAATGAAATCATGCATTCTTAACTTTTTCTATCTGACTTATTTCACTTAGCATGATAACCTCAAGTCCATCCTTGTTGTCGCAAATGGCAGTATTTCATCTTTTCTCATGGCGGAGTAATATTCCATTGTACATGTGTACCACATCTTCTTTATCCAATCATCTATGAAAGGCCAACAGACATGTTCAACTTTAGTAGTTATTCAGAAAGTGCAAATCAAACCCACAACGAGATACAACCTCACACCTGTTAGAATGACTGCCATCAACAGAGCAAGTAATAACAAGTGGAGAGGTGGGACTGCAAATTGGTACAGCCACTATGAAAATGGTATGGAGATCTTGCAAGAGATTAATAATAGCATTACTATATGACCCAGCAATCTCTCTTCTGGTATCTACCCCCAAAATTTTAAAACATTTATGCGTAAAGATATATGCACCCTGATGTTCATTGCAGCATTATTCACAGTAGCCAAGACATGGAAACAGACTTTCTAAGGTTTGCTAACCTGATTGGTGTAAAGTGGTGTCTCGTTGTGGGTTTCACTTGTATCTCTCTAGTTACTAGTGAGATTGCTCCTCTTTTCATATACTTACTAAAAAGAAATTTATTTCCTGAGTATCTATAAATTATTGGGAAAAAAAACAGAAGGCACCAAAACCAGTACTATTTGTGAGTGCAACTAATAGTACAACCAGTATTTCTCATATGATTACTGAAATGTTTATTTTAAATGGCTGGGAATACTATATACTTGTTATGTCAGAATTGCACTTGGCAGCTTTTGATTAATTTCTTGCCTTCTCCTTCATTTGGAACCTTGATTCTTCAATATCATAATGGGTGCTAACCTCATCTGTGGCTACTCAAATCCTCTGAGGATTGGGAAGGAGGCTTGGAAATAAGAGGCAGTTATGAAAAATAACATGGTTTGTTGCTTTTTCTGGGGTGATAAAAGTAAAAACACTTTTAGTGGGATGATGCCATCTTTTTCTGGGTTCTGTGCTACATTTTTAGGTAAATTTGTCACCAATTCTCTCTAATCTTGCCTGACTATAATTATCTGAGGTTCTGCCTGGGCAGGTAGCTTTTGTCTTGTGTGCCAGCTTCATCTATTGGCAGTAGCAGCCTGGAACACAACATGAGAGGCAGAGTGGAGATTCGTGCTCCCTTCTGTTCTTCCTTCATCTGCTGGCACCTCCATTTCACTGGGGGAGAAAGGGTGGAGAAAGGAGTGGCTTCCTGATAACATACGCCCTTATGACATAATGACTCCCTTAGGAAATCATTTCTGGCTAACCTTTTTCATGACTTTCCATGGCCATGAGTTATCTTGAATTGATTTTGGAATCTAAGTATCCATTTCTCCATCAGGGTTCTTTCCAGATAACTCTAAGGAAAAACAACCCAGAATTTATAATTGTCATATATATTAAAAAATTCAGAGACATTGAAATAATGCTCCATAATTTCTTCAAAATTCTGGTTCCACATGTTTAAAAAAATTTTCCTTTGTTATTTCCCTCCTGTGAAGCCACCATTTATGTAAAACAATGAGTTGCCATAACGTGTTGGCGTTACCTTCCTAAACTCCTTCTCTCATGTTACTATGTAGGTCATAGAGAAGAATGCTGACCCTGAAGTAAACCTACTATTCTACCTGAAGAAAGTCCGTATCCTTATGCTTTACTGCCATGGTTCTGGATTGGGTGGTAAAAAGTGAACATGCTAAGACTTCTGAAGAAGGTCACCTTGTGTATGCTTTGGGTAAATAACCTCGTGTTCAATTTGTAGCGTCTAGTTGGAGTTCAGAGAATGAATCTAAAAATGATAGATTTGTACTTTAGTTCTTGTATTTTTTCACCTGAGCAAAACCAAAAGAACTCTCCAGTGAACTATGAGTGTGCTAACTTTACAAATAACTTGATGACTTTGAGCCCCACGGTCACCCTGATGACGGTTTTATATTCAGGATCGTGAATGTAAAACTGTCCCATCAATTCCTCATGGATGCACGTCACTGACAATAGTTTCCCACAAGAGCCCTTCATTGACTTGTCGCTCATACTTTTTCATAATCCTTATTGGAGAAAACATGATTTAATAAACATATTTCAAAATTCCAAAGTATAGCTAATGCACGCCCAGATCTTCACCTCAGATCTGGACTTTTTTCACCTCTCGCTCCTCCAAGATCTTCAGTAAATATTCAAAAAAAAAAAATTTATTGAGTTTGGGTGCAACTATAAAGGAGTAACACAAAGTGATTGTGGCAGTGGTTACACAGCTCTATGAGATAAAATTGCACACATAATATGAGTGCATATATAAATGGTGAAATCTAAATAAGCTCTGTAATCTGGTTATCCACGTAGTATTGATGCCAGTTTACTGGTTTTACTATGTTGTACTATAGTTATGTGGGATGTCATTATTGGGGGGAGCTGGGGGACAGGCACAGACTGTCTGTACTACTTTTACAACTTCCTATAAAGACAATAATTATTTCAGAATAATAACTTAAGAGACTATAATTATTTCAGAATAGTAAATTAAAATGTATACGTAGCACCTACTAAAAGCCGAGCACTATGTTAGGCTCCGAGGATTCAGTGGTGTACAAGACAATATTATCTTCTCTCTCTCCAGGATCCTTACTTCCTTCTCCACTTTTTTCTTTTTGCCTCCCAGCAAACACACTCAAAAACACGACCTTATTTCTCCCTGTTATTTCCTTGCCAAACTTATCTAATAAAAAGATGTGCCTGATGCCTCATCTTCTGTGTAACCTCTTGCAATCTGGTTTCCTACCTCATCATTTTACTACTCTAGCCAATATAATCTTCTACTGTCCTTATTCTACTCACTATTCCAGGAATCGGGCTTATAGCTGAAAAACAAAGAAGAGCCAAAAACAGGTCAAATCCTCCCTCACTAGTTCCACCATCTCCCATATACCCAGCTTCAAAATCTCACTGTTAGTAAACACACCCTATCACTTCTCCTTTATATCACTTCTAAATCCACTACACACTTCATTATGCTTTCTCTAAAATGAAGAAATTCATCTATATTAGGAGCAAGCTGAAAATGCATAGACTCCTGAGTAAGCATGGTCAGAAGCGGCTCTAGGCAGAATCACCCCAGCCTCCCCTTTCTCCCATCTCCCTGGTGTCACCTCTTTTCTGGTGCCTACTATAATAAATAAGTCGTTCTGAGTAAGTAAGAGTCACCGGAGACTTCCAGACCCCAAATTCTGTTTACAGGGTCAACAGTTCTAGGATGAATTCAGAGGCTTTACTTTTATCTTGTTCCTCAAGTGGATGAGTCTCGGGAACATTTGTGGATAACCACGCAGATTTCCTGCCAGAGTCAGCGCCCACATGCTCGTACCAGCTACCAGCCCACTTCACTTTTCACATGACTCCCCCGGCCCCTTCCAAGGCCCTGTATGCAATTTACATTAACAATTTTATGTTTTGTTTTGTTTCCTGAAGGTGGGTCTCTAATATTATAAAAACTTCAGGCTTCCACAAAACCCCAATTTGCTGCTGACTTAGTGCCTGGCTTAGGTATCATTCCCAGAATGGAACACAGTCACACAAGGAGCCAAATTTGTTTGGGGGCATCCCCCCTCCCTTTCACCATTTCACTTCTTCCCAAGGTCACAGCCTCCTACTAAGTCACACCACCCACTGCAGCTGCCTGGCCCAGACCTGCTGGGGTGAGATCATACGTCATTTCTCCCACCTCTTCACACCTCCTGGCTTGGTGTGAAGCAGTTTGATTCGTGGAACCAGGTAATGCATCACTAAGAGTAAATGGTCCACAGTTACTTGAGGCAAGAAGGGTGTGTCATTTTAAAGCTGCTTAATCTCCATGAGATCCTGGCTCTAGGATAAAACTGGGGAAATGGGATCTCTCAGAGGCTCCCTAAACATCTGTCCTTGTTTCCCCACACCCTCACATACCCACCACTGAAACCCTAACACTTCTTGCAGTTTTCAAAACAATTCTTCATTCGGCTAACCAATCTTACTCAGCACCAGGTGTTCAGATGTAAGCTAGAAGACACAGCTTCTGCCCTCAGCTTAGAAAGGGTGACAGCCAGGAAAGAGGTGACAGCAAGTGTGATGAGTGCTGTGTTGTGGGGACACAGGTAGGGCACTCACATCGGGCTTGGGAATGGAAGGGAGAGACAAAGGTTGAACTGAAGGCTTGGTGGCAAGGGTATTCCAGTCAGCAGTACAGGGGCGGGGGAGGGGGTTGGAATAAGGGCAGACATGAGAGAATATAGTGCTTCTGAGGAACTAAAAGAAGTTTATTTTGATGGATGTAAAAAGTTGTCAGAGGGAGGTTGCGGCAAGAGATGAAGGAGGAATGAGATCCTGAGGCAAAGGATCAAGTTTGACCCCAATGTCACATTCCCTGTCTGATATGGCAGGACACATTAATTCTTCGATGAATGACCAAATCCCAATGGAAATTCCAGGGTCAACTGCACACAACTGCCAGCATTTAGTATCAGGTTACCTTCTGGCTGTACTGTAAGGCTGTGAATCTTGGCGACATTGAAAAAGCTCTTCTACTTAAAAGACCAAAAAATAAACTCTGATATAATATTGTTTGTATTTGACCTCAATAGGGTTGCCAGTTTTAACAAATAAAAATATAAATTTTTTAAAAATTTAATTTAATTTAAATTTTAAAATTTAAATTTAAATTTGAATGCATATCCTAAAATATTATTCACCAACTATCTGAAATTCAGATTAAACTAGGTGTCCTATGTTTCATCCAGCAACCTTACCTAATAATGAGCTTTAAGACAAGCCGACAGAATACAGAAGTAACTGAGAGAGGTAGTTCTGGTGGGAGTGGAGGAAGTAGACATCAAACAAATCATTTGATGATCAGAGGGCGAAAGAGCTAGTTGAATCTATTTTTCACCCAAGGAGCATTAAAATGTGCATCACAGAGCTGTTTTAAGAAAAGTAGCCTCCACCCATCTTTGAGCCAGACAGCTCTGGATTCCAAAGGCAGGAGAAAGTGTTTCTTTGCCTTTTCTGCTGTGTTCAGTGGCGCTTTAAGGTATTACTCACATGGCTTTCGGTCCTCTCCCTGAAAGTGGAAAGCTTGACCTGCCTGCCTGAGCAGGAAGAGCTATCTCAGACTGGGGACTAGAAAACAGAGGAGGGGGATTGCAGCCCCTCTGGACCTCTGCAGAGACTCCCTCAGCTCTTTACTCCAGGGGTGTCCTGACCCAGTATTATATCTCCATGGGAACAATCTCTAAGGTGAAGCTAGTCTAAACTTCCACCCAAGCCGGTTATGACCTACACCCATGAAATCCTTTTTAAACCTCATCCAGAAAAGGTCCGGAGCAAATTTCAGGAAATTCTTATAGAACCTAAAGCAGGAGATTTACATATATTATTTGTTCTCCCTTTGTGAAAATATGCAAACGTCATGAGGAAAAGGTACACAGTGATTGTTGACATTACTGGCTCAGGAACCATGGTTATTAAACTAATCCCTAATCCCATAAGAAGGTACATTGCTGAATCAGGGAAAGGTAAACCTCTCAAGGGGATTTTTCTAAGTTTTATACACGTACCACCTCCACAGCAATAACTTAACAGAAGTCCAGAATTCATTGTCTGCAACTCTGCACTCAACAGATTTTTTTCCTACCTCATTTGGATGCAAATACTGATCTCAGTGGCAGGAGGCTCTCTGTAGTCTTCATGTATCTCACATAGTGTGAATATTCAGATGTTGCACTGAGGAAATAGCAATGTGTTGGATTACAAGGTGCTGCCCTAGCCCCACTCGAGAGTGCTAGTTTATTTTGCAAAATATGGAAAATTTTGTATTCAGAAATTTACCTGGCTCTGGGAGTTTCAGATAAGGCAGTTTGGGTCTATAAAGATTGCTTCTCACTTTTTATCAATGAATTCATTTACTTGTGAAAATTGGAGCTCTCTAAGCAAGAAACCTTGGTCCCTGGGACTCAAGAAATAATATGTCACTTGTTATCAGCATCCAAGGAAGAAAAGTACCAAAAGTGAGGGGACCTGGGCCCTCTTTTCCTTGACTCCCTTCCTTCCATATGGCTGTGGGGGAGGAGGCTGCGGCGCCTGCACCGTCATGGTGTCAAGATACAACCCCAAGACCAAGAAAATCCAGCATCCTTTGTGTTGGCCAGGGCCTTGAGTGGGCACATCTAGGAAGGACATGGAGCCTCCCACTTTTCTGTCCACATGCACTCCTCCTCTCACCTCTCCAGGTGTCTATCATGCTCACACTGCCACCAGGCCGGCTCTCCCTGCAGCTTCCTAAGCTCCAGATCTTACCTACGGACTTTCTTCCCATCGTAATATATTTTATTGAGCTAGTATGCAACCAGGGTATCTGTATTTTTAAAAGCTTTGCACGATTGAGAATCACCGGGCTTGACTACCTCGTGGTACTTTACATAAGTCAATATATCATCTTATGATGAGAAAAAATGGAGAATGAGGATCTCTTGGTGATCCTATACAAAATTCCTCATTATTTTATTTTTCCATTTCTCTCTACCATCCTACACCAGTCACACATAAGTCCTTTCTTGGACTCTTCCAGAAATTTATGGTTTTATGTCTAGTGTTCTCAAGGAAGTGCAACTTCATGACTCTCCTGGACTTAAATCACTCCTGAATTATGTTCCTCACTCCCTGTGATTCCAGTGTGTTCTCTTTACATAAGTCCATCGCAGCCATTATCCAGTTACAGCGTGCCTAGTGCCCATCTGCTCTCTGTATGGGGCTGCAGTCACCACAGTAGAAGGTGTAGGAAGCATCAAAACCAGGATTCACCCCGTGCAGGTAAGAGTGTGCTGTGATTGGGACCAGGTATTGGTATAGACATCCCACATAATCTAACGTAGTCCAAGTAGATCACCAGCTGTGAAATCCTTTGTGCTTTTAAATCCTCATCTTGTGAGATTCAGTGCTTCTTCTCAGAGATTGGTATATAAACCAACATTCCTTCATTGATTTTACTATATCTGAATTTCTTAGCCCCATCCTGGCCCTAAGTTAAAACAAGGACAGTCCAGTGTGACAAGAAAAGAGAATTAGATAGGAAACCAAAACTTTACAGAAGCTACTGGCTGTCTACTACATTGCAAAATTTTTTAACTCTGAATAGGATGCTAATTATGTGTTCAAATACTCTCCAAGTGTTCTCCAGATGTCTCACGAGTAATTGCACCCATGCTACAATAAAACATAGCTAAAACGACAGTGTTTACTAAAGTTTAGAAGATTTTTTTTTAATGGTAATGTTATTTTTACATACTAGAATAGAAACTTCTGCAGAGGTTAAGTTTTAAAAGCAGTGTGTAGAAAGATTAGGAATAGCCATAGTTTCCCTTGAAATTCCTTCTTTTAGAAGGCTGTGTTTAGAACACAGAGTCTAAAAGCTTTCTCTGACATTGTGTCACCATGGAGGGGCACTTGGTGATAGTGCATGTCTTTCATAAATGGAATGACTTGATCTTATTAAGATATTACTCCATACCTGGCTCATCACCTTTATAGTTATGGAAGGACCCAATGCTGCAGCTTATTAGATTTTGATAATACAGTTGCCGAATTTATTCAGCAGTACAGGCTAGTACCGGTGCAGGCTCATTCTGGCTTATGAGAGCTGGTTGTTCAATTTTCAGAAATTTTGTAAGCCCATCTTTGAAAACAACCATTATTAACAACTAAACTTTACAAACTTAAAATTAGATAAGTAATATTAAAAACAAAGTTAATAAACATCAACATTCATCATCTCTAATTTTTTTACTACATTTTACTAGTATCTTCACTCTTGAGATTTTTTGTCTATTGTGTCTACTTGATGGAAATGCCATAGAACTGTGTGTCACTGTGCATCTCTTCCCAGATCCACAGACATTGACATCATGTTGGAAGTTTGGCATCAGCCATGGTGGAACTATCTGTCCAAATAAAAATGGTAGAAACTACAAATCAGGGCTTTTTTCCCCTCCAGAGATTCAGTTGTTAAACATTTACCAACACATTTACAGCCAGGTTTATATGCCACATCTGAAACAACTTGCCATCTAGCAATCAATCCAACACAGCCATATTTCCCTCTATCATTAGAGCATCTATTCTTTCTTTTTTTTATATAATCTACATTTTTTTAATGGTTACGTATGCCATTGTTGCATTAACATAATTTTCAATTATAGTTGACATTCAATATTATATTAGTTTTAGATACACAGCATAGTGGTTAGACATTTATATCACTTTTAAAGTGATCCCCTTGTAAGTTTAGTACCCACCTGACACCATACATAGTTATAACAATATTACCGAATGTCTGTTCTTTCAGTCGAGCCACAGATGAATTTGGCTTTCATCTTAGGGGTCACACTGTTTGAAAAATGCTAAGCCAGCCAGTTAAGCACCCTTTGAGAGACACATGGGAAGGATACACACAGATGGACTCACAGTCATGTCTTCCATCTATATCTTCATGGCATAGGGCCTTGTATAGAGTGGAAAAAGTAACTTGTCATTTCTGTCTCTTTTTATTATTTTTTGTTATATTTAAATGCATAAAGTTGAATGTGCATAAATTAAGTAAATGAATGGCACCACACAACTAAATAATACCTCACAATTTTCAAAGCTTTTATATAGATTTTGTCATTTAAGCCATCAAAATTCAATAATATAGATGGAGAAGAGGATGAAAATGACTTGCCAGAAACTGTCAAATGATTTGCATATATTCATTTATTTGTTCTCACAAAGATTATCCTAATTTTAAAAATGAAGAAAAGTTAAGTAAATCACCTAATGTCACACAATTAATGAGCTACAGTAAGGACTGAAACTCACATGAGTATGATTACAAAGCATTTTACTTGTTCCCTAAACTACACTTCCTATTTCACAGATCAAGAAACCAGAGTCTAGAAAGCAAAGTGACTTCATACCTACCAACAGGCTTTTCTTGAGGTAGGAAAAAAAGCATATGATTTCCAGAAATAAAAATATTTTTCTTTCAGAGTGACATCTTTTTTCCTACAGTTATTTTTGGAAAGCTAAACATATAAGTTTCACTCTTGACCAGTGTCCAAGGAGGAAACAAGAGACTTAAAGCATTAATAATGTCCCATTTTTCTCCCAGGAGACACTTGCCAAGTGTCATGGCACGCAGTGTGGCTTCTGCAGCCCAGGGATAGTGATGTCCATCTATCTGCTGCTCAGGAACCACTCAGAGCTGACCCCCAAGCAAATAACCAAAGCGCTCGGAGGTGAGCCTTCTGGGCCTTCTGCAGGCAGGGCCTAGGGTGGAAAGTACCCACATAACTGGAAAAGGAGGTCTCAGCCCATGGAGAGAAGTTGCTGCACAGCTTTGGGGTTCCTCTTTAGTGACTGTCTTTACCTGAGTTTTTTCCAGGAATTGACACCTTTATTTTGTCAGTAGTGATGCCAAGAATTAGGGCAATATTGATTTCATTACAAACCTTTCTTCCTTAATGGAGTTCATTGTCACTCTGCAAAGGCATTCAAATGGGCTGTTTCTTATATAGTCTTTTTCAAATGTGGAAATGTGGGTAGTATGAAAGAATGAGATTCTGTTACTTTTTAATTAATCTATTAGAATTATTTATTAACTCCACTTACTAAAATTAACTTTACAAATAGGGTAGACTTTCAGATACTTTACATTTTATGTTCTGCTTGGGTTCATTATAAGATCAAGGAGACAGTAGACAGCAACTAGTTTTCACAGCTTGGTGAACAAGTCAATATCCTATGACAAATAGCTATCAAATTGAAATGAACAAACACAATTTTCTATTAAAAAAACAAGTATGTTAACAAATGTAGTTTTCTGTAACCAACATACCTAGTTTCAAGGTAACTGGTCACTAGTTCTTACTAGAAAGCCATGAAAGCAAACCTCTGAATAATATAAGAAAACTCTTTGTCCCTTTCAATAACAGACCTAGAGAGAAATTTAGTTTTATGATGAGAAGATGCAGACTAAAACAAAGTAAACATTCAACTTAAATTTTATGATTACTGGTATATAAATATTCTCTAATAGTTTCCCTTATCTCTCAACAACTTCTTCACTCAAAATTTTTTAGTTTTTCATTAAGTACTACTAAAACTTTGGCCTATGATCTCAGTTATAATTCTAACCAAACCTGAATGGATTTGAACAATAGATAATCTTTGTTTAATGAAATAATCCACACTAATGAGGTATTGAAAGCTTTGAAAAGCAGAGATCTTGTGATTTGCTTTACTTTTTGTTTGTCTCTTTGAATATGCGCAAACAATCTTATAGGGGTGGATTATTTCCTCCTAGATTCTATGCCTATGATTCACATAATGACCACCAGGAGATGGTGTTGTAAAGTTTGGCTAAATTGATGAAGTAGATAATCTTATTATAGGAGTAGACAATTTGGAGAATATATTTCAGTTCACAATCCATTTACTTGAACTCTTTCTAGAATTATAAATGCTACCCACACTAAATAACCTTCAAGTTCGTATTTTAAGAAAAACAACAATATAATTAAAAATTCAAAGAAATGCGATTGGTTGTGGCACATAGCTTTTAAAATGGTCAATTGATATAAATCACCACTTTATTTAATCTCGTCTTTCTCTTCAAGACTAAGAAATAAAATTTTTGAATTTTTATCTTTTTTTCCCCCTAGAATCAGAAGAATTTCTGCAATGGGTGCTATTAGCATTCCCTTGGTGGGCCTTTAGTAGGGCTTCTAGACTTAGCATTGATTATGTGGCCAAGAACAAAAACAAAAAAATTCTGATACTAGCTCTCTCTAAGCTTTAATGTTTGCTTATAGTTTATCAGAGAGAAAGTGTCCACTGCCACTTAAATACTTCTATCTTATGCCATGTAGTTACGTTCTAGATATTTCAGCTCCTTTTCTCTACTCCAAAGAGAAATTCTTATTTCACACATCTTCTATATTCTTTCTTATAGCAAAAGGAAAGAGATATTATGGAATCTGAATCCATTCTTGTGCATGCAGTTTCTCTCTACACTATTCTTGCCCTAATAAAAAAATAAGTATACCCATTAACTTCCACATGACTCACTGACATCAAGTTTCCACACAATATTTTCCTTCTAGGTGTTTAAACCTTCCCCAATCCACACATATACATTGCTTCTGAAATATTTAAATTGTATTTGAACTTAATAGTTTTGAATTTATTTTAAGTATAAAAATAACGCATTCTTATTATGAAAAATACAAAAAAAAAAAATTAGAAGACAAGGGAAAAACTCATTCATATATCTGCCACAGGCGACAACCACAATCAGATATTTCTATTTTCTTTTGGCCTTTTCTATGCATAGTTTTTGTTGGCTTATTTTAAATACTTGCGACTATTATCTGTACAATTTTATATTATATACATAATTTTAACAGTATAACGTAAGAGTTTTCTCATGTCAGTAAAACATATTTATAAATATCATTTACACTGGCTGCAAAATTTAAATTTACTTTCTAAAAAAACAAAACAGTGGTTTCCTCACCTTTCCACCACACTTTGGAAATGCTGACTGATTAAAATAATACCAGGTACTTATTGAATACCTATTATACTGTACAGGGAGGGTTCAAGAACAGTTAAGACAATTCTTGCCTTCTCCAGAGCTTGAGATCTAATGAAGGAGATAAGGCATGTACATATATGACCCTTCTCCAGCACAGTCGATGATGGGCTTGCAGAAGGATCCAGACAGTGAGTCATACAGCTCTGGCTGGGGTGTTAGAGCAGACCCCAGAGGGAAGCGGGGTTGGGGCCCTTACAAATGGACACACTTCCTAAGATGACATTTGGAGGAGAAGAGACTACATGAAAAAGCTTACCAAAGAACCACATCTGAGATGCTGTAAGAGATGGCAAGTTACATGAAGTAGGACAGGGGTGGGAAATAAGACAGGAAGAGTTTATTGGGGAAAATTGTGGAGGTCTTTGTGATATTTCAGGAAAAAAATGTAATTATAAGATCTATTTTTGAAGAATATCTCTGTTCCAAAGAGTCATTTTACTGGTTTGGGAAACAAAAAAGAATCTATTTACTGGTATAGCTATCCATTGAAAACGTGAAGCACAAATATGCAATATATTTCTATATCATTCATCAAAAATTGATCTCTTAATCAGGTAATTTGTGCCACTGTACTGGATATCGACCAGTGGGAAAACTTTCTGTGAGGTGAGTTAAAATAAAAAATGTATATAAAATTTTTCAATTGATTTAATATATTAATATACTTTGCATAATCATCTACTACACTTAATTATCTCTAAAAATAACCCCAGATTGACCTTTCTAACCACTGAAAGTTGTTGAATGCCACTGTTAGTATTTTTTTAAAATAAATATTTAGCATCTATCTTGTTTATAGCCTTAAATTAGGCACGTTTCCTAAAAAAGTAAAGTATATGATCCATGACTTCAAAAGATGCAAACTCTATTGAAGAAAATGAAATATAGACTAAGAAACAAACCATAATTAAAAAGCAAGATAATTAAAAGCTCAATATGCCCTCTATACCATTTATATAAATTTTGAAGGAACCTGAATTTAAAAGAATTAATGAGCAAGAAGGGAAGACAGAGGAGACTTATTGGAGAAGGGAAGTTTTGAAACAGATCTTAAAGCAAGTGATAGAAATGGATGGGTGAGGAGAGGCCACTAGAAAATCCCAAGTAAGAAAATGCATGGAAGTAGGAAAAAGAAAGGAAGTGGTGGGGGGAGGGAAGGAAAATTTTAGCTGTCCAAGGTTCAGCTAAGAAATTGATATGGCTGAAACATTAAGGTATTAAAGGATATTGTTTGTGGCTAAGGAATTTAGACTTAAAGCTGATAACCAGTATATAGTCTCATTATTTAGTCTCAAGCTAAGAATAGCACAAGAACAGTATTTCAAAAAGAAAATTCTTGGCACATGCCTTTAAGGAGGATAAGCCTGGAAAGCCATAGTGGGGATGAGGGCATGGAATAGTGCAGTATCCAATGCATGAGGGAATAAAGACCTAGACCAGTGTGAGAGTAGGGACCCAGAAAAAGTACTTTCGGGAAGGAGACTGCCAGAATCATAACCTCCAGACAATAAAGGATGCAGGAAGAAAGAAATCCAAGTCACCTTCAAAGCTGAGAGATCAAGGAATCAGATTGGATGAAGGAAGTTGGAAAAGAATGATTTCGTGTATGGCGGGGGGAGGGTAGTTTTCAGATATATTAAGTTTTCAGAAAGTAAATATTAAGAGGAGACATACTTTCAACAAGGTTTCAGTTAGGGTGTTTTTCTAGCATCCATTTTTTTAATGGTAAAAATTAATTGTATATAATTTTGGTTGACGAAAAGCAATTCAAGGTGCACAAGTTAATTCCAAAAACTAATTTTTTTTTGGGGGGGGGTCTACATTTAGACCAGTAATGAAGAATTCAAAAAGCTTTTATAAACTACAGGCTAATTTATTTCAAATTCTGCGTAAAAACTATTTAAGTTGAACCATACAAATGGCCAGTATTCCACCATTTTGACCCACAAAAACAGGAATGTTATATGATGCAACCTGTCTACAGCCATGACACCCTGAATGTGCCCGATCTCGTCTGATCTCAGAAGCTAAGCAAGGTCGGACCTGGTTAGTACTTGGATGGGAGACCACCTAGGAATAACAGGTGCTATACGCATTGTGTGTGTGTGTGTGTGTGTGTGTATACATACACATATACGCATATATATATGTATATATGTATATAAAATTGTATGATTCAACCTAATACCATGCATTTATTTTCCAGAAGATAAAATGTATTCAAAGACAGACATTTTTGTCTCTCTCACTCTGGGTCCTCACATTTAGTCACTTATGGTTAGTTCCTTTATTGTACATAGTGTTGTCACAAAATCCAACTTTCTTCTTAACACTGAAGAAAATTACCTTAGAAGTAGAAATATCAACAGCCACTTCAGTACTTCCTCTGAGTCAGATATCGTACATGTCTTTCACATATTTAAATATAAAAAAAACTGTTTTGGATATCTTTTATTTTTCTAATGTAACAAACACAACCCACTGTATGTGTTAAAGCAAGACCTAGAACTCAGGTCTCCCTGACTCCATGTATAAAGTCAAACCACAGGTCTGAAAATAGCCACAGACCCTGAGGCTGTGCCTGCCCATGAAAAGGGCAAATAGAATAAAAGTTGTCTGAGAGTTGCAGTAACTGACTAGTAAATTCAGGCCAAAACACTACTTTGGGTCTGCATGAAATGTTCTGAAAATTAAAGTAAAATGTTTGGGACTTGAATTATCTAAATAATTCAGAATAGCTCCAATGACATCTAAATAAACTCAGGTTTTCAGTTTATTTATATTTGTACGTAGAAAGTCTTAAAGGCAGTTTATCTTTCCAGGACTTCATTAAAGATACACACTGTATCATCTTTACAATAAAAAGGAGCCATCTTTTTTGGTTTTTTTACTTACCACCTGATAACTACACTCCATTTACCTCACTTTTAGTAGGATGCCTTAGCTGCTGGCCCCACCCTTCCTCTAACCCACCTCGTTCTCCTCTCAGACTTGAGCGACACCATTAACAAGGTCCTGTCATGAGCATGGTGCACACTCCCTGTAATTTTCTCTAATTGTTCAGTGATGGAATAGCTTGTCTCCTTCGCACCCCGTTACACAGTCCTTGAGGGCAAGGACACACTGTTACTTCCACAACTTCTCTAGGGCCTGGGTACTGCTGGGTACTCAGGTTAGTATTTAACCTGAAACAAATGAATGAATTTGTTTTAAACTACATTACTTCCTAAGGAATCAACTGTTTGTCAAATGAAAGGATCAGGAAAATGTTGCATGGATCAAGAAGAGAGGTCTTTTGTGACTAGACAGGAAAAAGTAAGTATTTGCTGTGCTACTTCAGTTGAGATTGACTAAAAAGTACCCACATAAATCCAAAATTCCAGTTTTCTATTCTTTTCAGTGAGTAAAATACAAAGTAAGTGAATTCAGGGCATAAACAGCCTTATAAAGTTCCAAAAATTAGCGAGCTTATGACTTTCATGAGGCCGGTCACCGCAAAAGACTGTTTTCCTTCAGAAGCATTCCAACTTTCTGTGTCTTATCTGGATTTATCTGCCTCCCCACCCTGCCCCACCAACCAAGCACTACAAGAGATGTAAACAGTGGTGCATCTTCATGCTCATGGCAAATAATACCTGAGACCCAGCATAGAAATTTAAAACTCAATTCCCAATGCCAAAAAAGGAAGCATAGAGTCCAGAAAGTCTGCCGGGAAAACTGTCACAGTCTCAAAGGGTGCAGAGAATTCCACTCAGGGATACCCTGCGGCTCTGAAACCTCCATTTTGTGTCTGGGGTGTCAGAGGTTTAGACCCTGACTCTAGAGTCTCGCACGTAGAGATTCTTGTACATCTCTCAGTAAGTCTGATGTTTCATTTGTATTTTGTTTTGTTTAGTTGTGTACCAAACTGTATAATAAAGATGAATTCCAGCCCTTGGATCCATCCCAGGAACCTATATTCCCTCCTGAACTTATAGTAAGATATTTTACGTTTGCTGTTTCATAACATGATGTGATATAAGCCTTTTTGTATTACACTGTGGAATTATCGAGTTTTAAAGATTAAAAACTGGAATTGTGTCCAATATGATCACCCGTTTTTAGGAACTTGTTCGGCTCCACTATAAGCAATTTGAAACAGACAGCTTAGAAGAGAGGAGCTTCCAGGACCTCAGAGATGCTTTGGTTTACCCCCTCTGTTGAAAATCCTGAACTCGGGGAGTGTAGGTGACTTATCCAAGGTGACACATCTACACTGTGAGATACGTTTAAGGCATTTTGTAAAACTGGTAAAGTAAAAATCAAATGATACTTGTTATAATAAGTATCTTGGAATTATATTACTCTTACTATTAACCTCTGTGATTTCAACTCATTGGAGGAGAGAGAGAGAATAATATAAATTATGTAATAAGCCCATCACTCTATTCCATGACTATGCCCTGGAGGGAGCATGAGATGAGGGATATGATGCTGCCTGCTTCTCAGAGGGTCCCGGTCTCCACACGACTCTCAGAGTGTGAGAACTTGGACACTCCTAGTATTTAAAGATTATATGTATACATTAGATGTATACATATGTGTTTATGTCTACAGAGTTGTAAAATAATCCACTTACAATATACCTGGTGAATGACTTAAGGATTTTTCTTCAAGAACAATTTTTCCAATAAGCAATTTTTGTCCTACTAAAAAACCTAGTCCCCAAAAATGAAGCCCCTCTGAGTCTCTGGTAGAGCAGAACTAGAACAAGATTCCTGGCCCTTTAGTTCCAGGCTAAGACACTTTATACCATGCTGCCTTCTCTTCACACATATAGAGTTCATTCTATTCTATATGCAGGTGTTGATGGATAGACGCCTATTGTGATGTCTATTCATTGGTGCCCACATGAAACTTATCAATCTCGTTTCAAACAAGGCCACCCTTTCCTGATCTCTAGAAGTTAGGTGACCTCAGACAACTACCATTTGGATGCCCAGAGCAGTGGATATACACATGGCATGCAGTACAACAGTCTTACTTGAAAGCCTGTTGACTTTGCTTTTCTGCAGAGAAATGGCAGAAGATCCAAACAAGAGAAGGCTGACATTCTGAGGGGAGAGGACTGCCTGGACTACTCCAGTAACTCTCAACAACCTTGTGGAGCTGAAAGCCAACTTCCCCAAAGCCCCCGTTGTCATGGGGAACACTACAGTGGGTGGGTGGTATTTAAGGATGTTCTTTAGGTAACCCAAACATCTGTGTCGCTTTTTAAACTCCTCCATAAGTGCAATTCATTTTAATTAATGGATATCTATGGTCTTTAGAATGCTTGCTGTTTTCTTTTGCAAATGAGTCATTTGTGACACAGTCTTCACTCTGAATTATCAGTAAGCAACATCTATTAGCATTCATTGACATCCTTTTCTAATTGTCTTAAATGTTTTTCTCCTTAAGGACCCAACGTTAAATTCAGAGATGAATTCCATCCAGTTTTCATATCTCCAACTGGGCTTCCAGAATTATATTTTGCAGACAGCACAGCTAATGGTATGCATGTTCTTCTTCAAATAAGGTGTAATGATTGGCTGTTGGTGGACTGTTAATTATATGCATGGGGTTAATTTGAGCATTTTATAGAATATCTGACCTCACTTATTTATTCAAAAATATTTATTGAACATCTACTATGTGTTTACCATGAGCTTTTTCAGGACCCACTCAGCTATGTCACTGAATACTACATTGTCATAGGAACCATAATGGGTGGAAAGATGCCACCTAGCTAGTCAGCTGTGGATTGATTGACTGAACAAGACTTAAGACATTAACTGGTCAGTAGGAAAGAATCTTGTCAAACATTACTCCCTGATTTATAAATTTGTTCAGGCCCAACTACACCCATACACACACACACACACACACACACACACACACACACACACACATAAATCTGGGCTACAAAATTATGTTACACTCTTTTCACAATTTACCAAGTGCTTTCATATCTTTTGTTTCTTTTGATCCTTATCACAGCCCTGGGAGGTAGACACAGCAGGTAGCCTTGCTATTTCCATTCTCCTAAAGATGTCGAATCAAAGGGTTTAAGTAACTTCTCCAAGTTCACACAGCTAACAAATGGTTAAGTCAAGACTAGATCCTAGGTCTTCTTACTTCTAGTCAAGTACTCCCACGTAATAAACTGAATAAAGCTGTACCAATGTCCACTACCCAAACTCAGCATTTGAATGGATAACAGGTTATAGGAGCTAAAAATTCCACATAAAATTGTGTTCTCTCAATAAGTAAACAGAAATCAGATGAAAAACTGTTTACTTTCCCCTCTGACCTGCCAAACTTAAGCCAGTCTGCCCAGAATTTTTTTACCTATTGAAAAGTCCCTATCAAAAAACTCACAGGGAAAGATGGAGCAAGGGGAGTCCCGGCTGGCACAAGAGCATGTGGAAAGAAGGTGTAGAGGTACTTGGTTAGGGTAGGGTGGAGGTGGAGGGGTTAGGGAGGTAGAGCTTGTAGAATGAAATCGGTGTTTCTCAATCTTTTTATTGCTGCCTCTCTAAGGAGAGATAGACATTTTTCTCTAATCATCCTTCCATGACATTTTAACACCAAAGAGAGATTATATATCTGTTTATGTAGAGTATGTATATCAGGGCCATATACATAAAAAGAGTAAGATTTTTTCACCCCCTTGGGGGCAGTATTGTTCTTATTGAGAAAGCATCAACTATATGACATCACTACTCAAAGTATTCTCTGTGAGCACACCTGTGAATGAAACTGACCCAGGGTAGAGGCAGGTGTCTATTCTTGTTGTTCTGACAGGGGACAATAAGAAGAGACGGCTGTGGAAGAAGGGCAAATGGGCACTGCAAAGCCACTTAGGCTTAATCATCTTTAAAAAGTCTAAGAGCATCTTGGCTGAAATTTTCCTATTTGATCAATTTATTCAGGAAAACACTAAATTAAGAAGACACTGTGAATGTCAGATATTCGTGGTTGATAGTTCCTGAAATATAACTGTATACATGACTGAGAAAAATAATTTGGTACTTAATCTTTGGAAATAAAGCAAATTGCCAAGAAATATCTTTATCTTTGGTTTTTGTCATTTTAAGGAAATATGAAAAGAGAAGATATATTAGAAAAATTGTTTCCATGTGGCCCATGCATCTTGTTAACAGTTGATTTTAAGTTTTTATTCCACTGTCTTATTTTCAGGGGTGACAATAGGTGCGGGGTACAGCCTGGCCCAGTTGAATGATGCCTTACATTTTATTGTTTCAGAGCAACCGAAGGAGAAGACTAAGACCTACCGTGCCCTCCTGAAGCATCTGAGGACACTTGCCGTAACCCGGATTAGGAGTATGGCGGTACGTTCTCTAGTGTTATGTGCAATGAGCCACAGTTACAGACAGTCATGCAGTTCTGTTCAGTTTAGCAAACATTACTCTGAAGAGGAGTCCCAAGTCAATGTCAAATAAGTCCTATAACATGAGTGTGAGTTTGAGTATGTGTGTTTGAGTCCAGGGTGAGAGGCATCACACTGTGTGTATGCATGTACTCTAGTGAGAAGCAGCATTCTGTATTGCAAGATTATGGTCTTGGGATCTGGAGGTGCACAAATTCTAATCCCAGCCTGTCACGTAAGAGGAGTATGATCCTGGAGAAACCACTTGATCCCTTTAAGCCTCTGTTTTTTTCATTTTAAAAATTAAGTTTCAGTCAAATAGACCATCTCTAATATCCTATCCAGCTCTAACGGTCTGTGAAATATGTCTTATGCAAGGTTTGGTAAACAAGAGCCTACAATTCCAAAACACTCTTTTATGCCTGGTTCTTCCCTTAGACCTTTGCACTGAGGTCGGTTTCTAAACACCTGTGTCCTATATATCTATTCTTAGATGTTTCCCAGTTATCTAGCTTATTGAGGTTTCCCTATTATTTAAGATTTAAGAAAAATTGGTTCCAATCACCACCCATTCCACACATGATGGGTATAGTTCAGCGGGATGGAGGTGGGGGCCATTTTTTCTGATTGTCTCTGGCCTTATTTTTGTTGATTCTCAAAATCCACCGTATGTTTTCACCTTCCGCATCTTCTATCCCTTTTTATGGGTCATGTTCTACCTCTCCATATCATCTTGCACTCTTAACTCCTAATAAAAGTCTTCATAAAAGGCTTTGTCTGAAGCAGCTTTATTCACGGTTTGGGGCAACGGAGAAGAATTCTATTGCACAGCAGCACAGCAAACATTTTGAATGCGAATGCTGCATATCTGCATTCCTTACAGTTTACTCAAGCTCCAGTCTGCACCTTCCCCTGCATTAATGAAACACTCATACTAGAGTCAGTTCTCAAAGAGATTTGCCTCCTCATTACACATGGAAAAGAAGTATTTTTCTCAAGCACTAAGTCTGAACTGAAGTCAGGGGTGAGAATCTTGCACAATATGTTGTCTATATCCATTTAGCAGCCCCAAAACTCTGCCGGATCTCTCTATGAAACAAGGAAGAGGATTAAAAGCTTTACAAGATGACTGTCTACATATTGCTTATGTGTTAAATAACTAAATGTAGCTTTAAAATGTCATCTTTATTTATTTAGACTTTAGGAGGACATGTGGTGAGCAGACCTAATTTTTCTGACCTAAATCCTATTTTAGCAGCTGGAAATGCTGTCATCAATCTGATATCTAAAGGTAAGAGACCAAGCTTTAGGCATTGTATTTTATAATTATCATTGTCAGGTAGCTCCTTCAATAAACCATGATCTAAGAACCCAAGAATATCTAACCTAGACTTACCAAATATATATATTGTCTATATCTATATTACCTCAAGTGTAAGAATGAAACTGAGATCAATCATCCCGTTCTCCAGATGCTCTATGTCTTATAGATCAGATAAGTTACCGCACTTGACAATTTTTCTTAACTGGCCACATTTATGCACAGTCTAAACTGTAATATCAAAGTAGTTAAACCAAAAATTAATGAGATGTATCTCTGTGGTTTTTAAGTTTTATGGTATATTTTATTTCAGAGTTTCATAAGGGCGGAAATTTTCCTCATAGGACTTTTCATTTTAAACAAAATCAAGTTTGTGGGACATATTACTCACAACTTCTGTCTTCATTCAAAGACAGTTTGAGCTTTGCCAAGGGAAAATTATTTAAGTTTAAGGAAATAAAAACAATGCATATTATTCATAGAGCTATTGATGCGAGATACCCTCTCTTTGATTAAAATCATGTATATTTTTTTCCCCTCTTCAATTCCCTCCCCACACACACTTCCACCCCTGACCTATGGATGTCGCAGTTTCCCCTTAAGAACTAGATTTTTGAAGGCGGAGCGTCTCCTCCTACACGCTCGCTAGCGACATGCACCCGTGCACCCAGGGCCTGGCAACCCCAACGTACTGGGCGCACCTGGGGGGCCTGGTGGACCCAGGGTATGGTCGGTGGCTCCACCTGGTGTGCAAACCCAGGACTTTCTACGTGTCAAGTAGACGTGCTAACCACTACTCTATGGAGCTACCCCCTTAAAATCATATTTTAAAATGTATGGTGGATCAAATAAGAAAGTATGGTAAACTGCTTAAAAAAAGCTATATATCAGGCATCTCACCTCTACCTCTAGTACCACCTCTAGCATTTAACCTCTCTGGACCTCTGGACCTCAGTTTTCCCACTTGTGAAATACATTATACCCATTGTACCCATTTCCCATTTGTGAATCTACATTGTACTAGGTTGTTGCCACATAGCTGTAAAGTTTTTCAAGGCCAGCATTTGTGAGTGGCATAGAACGGACACTAAGAACCAGAAAAGACTTTTCAGCTTATCTGGTCTAACCCTGTCATTCTGCAGTTGAGGAACCAGAAGCCCCAAACATTTCATGACTTTCCCAAGGTTACTCAGTTTGGGAGCTAGAACTGGAACCTGCATCTCTGGCTCCCAGCCTGTGCTCACCCTTTCCACCACATACACTAAATCTGTCCCTTGCTGTATATTCTCCAACTTGATATTAATCAAGTCATTCTAATCAAGGTCATTTCTCTAAATATAAAGTGAATGGTAGATTCCTGAATGGTAGAGCCCTTTTCTTGAGATCACCTGAAGCCAATCTTAAATCAGAAGAGATTGCATTGTCTGTTGATATTCCCCACTCCACTAGGGTAAGGACTCCCTGACCCACTGCCCACTCGAGGGAGCCCAGCTCGCCCTGTGCCGCTCTCTCTCTGCAAAAGAAAAGCATTTGGTGTGAGTTGAATTTCAGGTTCAGATAAATATGCATCTTAGGCAAGATAGGATAAAGATATCTTCAATATCATCTACACCAAGTTCCTGGTAAACCAAAAGTTCATTATCATAAAAATACTTCCAAGTCAACCATCATTTATTAACCAAATATTTCTTTTTGTTATTTAATTATTTATCTTTTTCTTTAAGTATAGTTGGTATAGATAACCAAATATTTTAAATAAAAACATTTATTTATTAACTACCCCCACTCTATGTGTCATACACAGCGCTAAACGCAGAAGACACTACACAGATTTATAAGACATTGTGTCCTGTCCTCAAAGGTCTCTAAATCTAAGAGGAAGGGCTTGAAATAGGAAACAAATAATCATCTTAGACAAGAAATGAGTGGAAGAATAGCTGGACTAGTTCTGGTGATGGGGAGAGCCCTCTTCCAGTGTTGTTCAAAGGGGAAGGAAAGCAGCTGGGATCTAGCATAGATCAACGGGAGGCGGGGGGTGGGGGGGGGAGCGGATCATTCCAGGTGGGAAAACAGCATGAAGGGGAGAGGAGGAAATGGCAGGTTGGAGGCCACGCAGCAGGGCAAGGTGGCTGAAGGAGCCCCATGAGATGAGGCTGGGCAGGAGGCTGGGGTTCTATGTCCATTGTTGCATCAAAGAGTTCGTATGTGTTCTAACAGACAGCCACCTCTGAAGCCTTTCAAGCAAGGTAAAATTTTAATGAAACTGGTAATTTAATAGCATCAATCTACTGGAAAGATAGAGGATAAATAGGTTGGGGAGAGAGTGAAGGAGGCTAATGCAACAACTCAGGTGGGAGAAGATAATGAGGGCGGTGGCATTTTATCTTTGACAGGGTCCATGGTGTGATAGGGTAAGCTCTCTCCCACCCCCCACCAAGATACTGACCACATAAAGAAGCTTTCCCATTTTATGGCTCTAATGTTTCACATTAGTAATGAGATTTAACCTAGAATGACAAATTTAAACCTGGAAAGCACTTTAGAGACCATTTGGTCCAGTGGGGTTTAAGCTTTTTATTTTTTTTTAACAGTAGAAATCTGTATTCAAATTAAATGTATAAAGAATACCAAACTAAAATAGTTAAAAGTAGAAGTGACGTAGTTCACTCTGAGAGGCACCCCACATCCTCTTCCCTCTCAGCCCCTAAGTCACACTCTGATCACACCCAACCTTCT